TGGACCAATAGAACAGGAAAGAGATTCCAGAAACAAAGCCTCAATTTCTCAACCAACTCATCTTTAGCAAATCCTCCACCAACAACCATTGGGGAGAGGTGAACCTATTCAGTAAACGGTGCTGGGAAAACTGGCTGACCACATTCAGAAGATTGAAACAGGACCCCTACCTATCACTATTCACAAAAATCAACTCTAAATTGGTCAAAACCCTAAACATAAAACCTCAAACCATAAGAATAGTAGAAAATGCAGGAGACACCCTTAAAAAATTGAATGAGGCCACCAATTCCCAATCAAAACCCCAGATGTCCATGCCATAAGTGATAAGATAGACAAATGGGACCTGATTAAACTGAATAGCTTCTGCAAAACTAAATAAATCATCAAGAAAGTGGGAAGACCTCCCCCATCATGGGAAAAAATATTTACAAACTATATATCTGGCAGAAGCCTAACATCCAAAATATACAAGGAACTCAAATGTGCCAAAAGGAAAAACAAACAAACAGCCCTAATAAAAAAAAAGGGCAAAAGACATGAATAGACACTTCTCAAAAGAAGATATATGGGCAGTCAACAGAAACATGAAAAAGTGCTTAGCCTCACTAATCATCAGAGAAATGCAAATCAAACCACATTATGATACCACCTAACCCCAGTTAGAATGGCCATCACCAATACAACAAACAGATGCTAGTAAGAATGCAGAGAAAAGGGAATGCTTCTACACTGCTGGTGGGAATGCAAACTAGTTCAATGTCTATGGAAAACAGTGTGGGGATTTCTAAAAGAACTATAAATTAACCTTCCCTATGACCCAGCAATCCCCCTACTGGGAATACACCCATAGGAACACAAAGTATTCTATAAAAAAGATAACTGCACAAGCATTTTTATTTCAGCACTATTTGCAATAGCAACAACATGGAACCAACCATGCTGCCCATTGAAACTGGACTGAATAAAAAAAATTGTGATACATATACACGATTGAATATTATGCAGCCATAAAGAAGGACAAACATATGGACTTCACAGCAACTTGGATGGATTTAGAGTCAATAATACTCAGTGATTTATCATAGAAACAAAGAAAAGAGTATAACATATTCTTACTTTTAAGCGGACCCTGATCATTTACCATAATACTATATGAAAGGGATTGGCAATTGCAGGAGACTGCTGGGGTGGAGGTTGGGGGGACAAAACATCAATGAGGGTGCCTGATCTTAAACCAGGCAAAGTGGGGGCTGAAGGGAGGCCCAAACTTTGCCTGTTTGATGCCCACTTGTATACCTAATACTGAATTACACCCCACATCTTTAAAATAAAATAAAATAAAATAAACTTTAAAAAATAAATTAAAGCAGTGATATAATATATGAAATAATAGCAAAGTCCAGAATAGCAAACTCAGTTATGTGTGACTGGAGGAAAAGAAGTTTTGGAAAGAGAGAAGATAGACTAGCAAGTTGTTAGAAATGAAAGGAAACTTATTTCACAAAAGAAATCTAAACTTGAAGGAGCATAACACTGAATAAACATAAAATGATAAAAATGATACTAGAGAATATCTTCTTTATAATTCTGTTGTTGTAAAATCTGAAACCCTGCAAATACCAATGCATGCTCTTAGAAGCCATGAACATTGTTTCTGTTGTAGAAGAGGAAGTGGGTGATCGGTTACTTTTCAATGTCTGTTTTTTGACCTATTTATGCTGACTTCATGATGATTCATTGTTGTGTTAGTCATGATTTGTACATTTCTCTGTAAGTATGTTTGTGTTTTGTTTAACAGAATATCAATGATATACTGTTTTATCATTCTTGGAGGCAATATGCTTTATATGAAAATATCAGTTATATTATTTTCTACTCTATGCATGTTTTGTATTCTCCTCAGAGCTTTTTTCTCTTATATTTAGGCCTCTGTGTTTCATGCTTAAGATTTCTTCTAATGTCTGGTAACTCTTGAGTGTTCAAATATATCCCAGCCTATGGCACTAACACACTTGTTTGCAGTTGTGTGTACATAGGTAGACCTTATGGACTGTTGGGCTCCAAGGCAGAAGAGACAGGCAAAACAACACTTATTTTGTAGAGGTAACCCCTACCTTCCAGCCTCCACCCCCAGAAACAAATTACCCTGTTTCCTAAGTGAAATGTTTAAGACTGGTTGCCAACCTGGGGGCTGAGTGTAGGAAAGAGGGTCATGATGCTCCATGCCATAAGCATACCCTCAATCCTCTATTCTAAGTACAACTCCTCTACTGCTTAAGTTCTGCCAGATGTTTCTAGTCAGAACTCCTCAGTTTAACTGCCATAAAAGGAAAGCTCCAGTCTCACCTGGCATGGAAGAGACTGAAGGCAACACTACTTCAATAGGAGTCTGAAGTTTAGTGCTGAGTTTTTTGTCATTGACTTGTGATGAGGTAGGTATAGAAATTGAATTGTAAGTAGTGAGTAACTTTCATATAATTTAATATCACTGACAAACAAGCACACAATCAGAGGACACATCTTTTGGAGGAGAGTATAGAATAGCTTGGATGTTCTTCATTTTTCTAGTAATTGATTTTATTGTATTTTACTGAAGTATTGGCCTTTTTATGAAATGGGGGGAAAACCCCTCTAGATGATTTGAGAAGCACTGAGGGAGATGTTGGGTTCCTTATTCAGACATTAAACCACATTTTCATTACCATATAGATGACCCAATTGTGAAGACAATGTCCAGATACAGTTTTGTCTTTGAATTGATTTGCTTTTGATTGGCGTTCCTCATTGTGCAGGTGTATTTTCAGCTTTCTCTCATCTGCTTAGAGCCATGTAAATCATCTCCCCTTCCTTTTTTTTTTTTTTTTTGCTTCTATAATTGTTTTGCCATCTCTTACACATAGTCTTCTCCTGTTACCTTCTTGGTGACATGTGTTTTAAATATCCCACTATCATTTTAGTATAATAATGGGCAGAATACATATGTTAAATCCCACAATATGTATTTAGCATGTTAAAAGAGATTCCAAAACAAAATTTATAAATCAATGTTGATAGAAACTTAATGAAAAACTAATAAACACAAATGCAGTGAAGTATGTTAATTTAGCACTGTGACACCATTACATGCTACGTACACACACACAATGTAGTATACTTAAAAAAAAGTTTAATTAATAAAATCGAGATCACATCTATAATACATACTATTAAAACTGTAATGGAAACAAAAGTACTTCACCAGGCATAATTCAGAAGAAATCAATAAGAAAACTAACAAATAGTAAAAGTAGAACTAATGTCAGTTATATTCTCTCAGTAACATGCAATAAAACTAGAAATAAATAACAGATGTTAGTTACATATCCATAAGACGATGTCTGTAGCAAACTCTGTTCCTAAAAAAAAAGATCAATACATGGGAATTGTGATTCTGTTAGAGAAAGAAAAAGAACCAAAGAAAATAAAGGAGATAACCAATAATTATTTCACTAGTAAAGATAAATATAAATAAAAAGACAATCCAAAAACTGAAAAACTAGACAAAAATAGGAACAGAGATTGTGATTTAAACATATGAGAGTATTAATTCTGACTATATGCATCTTAATTTGAATATCTAAATAAAATTAACAGAAGATAATACAGTTACATTATACCTTAGAAAAGGGGGTCACAGATGAAATATAAACTTCATACATACAAATACATATAAATATTATACTTTAAAAAGAATATTAATAACCCTCAGCATAACTAGAGAACAACACCCAAGATGGTGAGGCATCTGAAATTCAGGTCACATGAGTAATGAAAAAGGTTCAGATTGTTATCATAACATTTTCAAATATCTGTGAACCAGAATTAGACTTACTGGATGACACAAGAGGCAGAAGGTATGAAAATCACAGAGGAAAAGCATTAGTAGAAATTAGAGGAAACAATAAGAGCTGAGTTCAGTGGGAACATACATTTTGTGAAGCTGTTGATACCTAGTCTGTAGAAGCTGGCTTTCCTCGAAGATTTTGATGAAGGACTTTCTGTACATGTAAGAATCTATGGTCATATCACCTTAAACGTACCCAATCTCATCTGTACATGTGAGAGATAGGGCAAGATGACTACCAAAGTCCTTCTCTCACTTATATTATGTATTCTGGTGATAAATTTGAAACTGAGTAGCTCCCTGTCAATACATTTCATGTGGAAGGCCACGTAGACAGGGCCTTCAGTCTGAGATGAGAAAAGATGATTAATCATTCTATATCATTCATTTATATAACTTCTATGTTACATAAAAAGTGATTCAAATTAGTGGTAAGAAAAAGCATCCCAAAATACCATTTTTGGAGTGTGAAATAGTCCTCACAAAGTTGTGCGAAGCCTTGTTTCATATGAGTCTTACATTGTATATGGTTTTACCTTTGTGTATGCTTTCTTTGACATTATTTACTATACACAAACAAAACCCCTGTGAAATAGAAAAGGCAAATTGCATTATCCTTATTTTCTGTATATTAAAATTTAGATTCAGAGAAAAATCATGACTAACATCATGGCCTAACCAGTATCCAATCTTAAATTATCCAATTACTAGTATAGTAACACTTGTTCCTGCTCATACTACTAGATGTGAGCCACCTTAAGGCCTGAGCACCTCATTTTAAGCTGAACATAATCTTTAAGAATAAATTCAGAATTTTTTAACAATCTAGACAAATATAGGACACAAGATGATGATGGTTGCTAAAACCTTTTTGAGAGTTATAAATCTAGAGAAGAAGTGAAAGAGGAGAAAATTTACCCTTTACCGTCAGATACTTTACAAGAACTCTGAGGAGAACTGTTACCATCCCTGCTTTACACAGAAGAATACAAAGGCTCAAAATGTCAAACACCTCATCTAAGACCACACAGATATATGAATAAATTAGAAACTCTCATGACAATTAGTGACACAATTCGACCAATTATGACTGTACTGTTGAAAAGTGTTCTGATTATAAAATCTGAAGAGGAAACCCAGTCTTCCCAATCATTTTCCTAATGGCCAGCTGTACATCTTTGTTCCTTAGACTATACACCATGGGGTTCAATAGTGGGGTGATGATAGTATAAGTCACTGTCACCAGCCTGTCTTTGCCTGATGTATATTTGGCTGAGGGTCGCAGGTAGACAAAAGAAGCACAGCCATAATGGACAATGACCACAATGAGATGGGAAGCACAGGTGGAGAAGGCTTTTTTCTTGCCTTCAGAGGATGGGATCTTTAGGATGGTGTGGACAATGAAACCGTATGAAATGCAGATGAAGATCAAGGGCACGACAAGCACCAAGACCCCACAGATGAAGATGACCAGTTCATTGATGTAACTTTCAGCACAGGTGAGATGGATGACTGGGGAAATATCACAAAAGTAGTGGTTGACTTTGTTAGAGCCACAGAATGGGAGGCTAAAGACCAAAGTTGTTCCCACCAGAGATATTAAGAAGCCACTAACAATGCAAGTTGCTACCAGTTGTCCACATACTCTCCAGCTCATGAGAATGAGGTAATGCAAAGGCTGGCAGATGGCAGCATAACGATCATAACCCATCACTCCCAGAAGCAGGCAATTAGTGACAGCAAAACCAAGGAAGAAGAACATCTGGGTGGCACAACTCACAAAAGAAAGTGTCCTGAGTAAAGAAAGCAGGTTAATAAGCATCTTGGGCAGTATAACAATTGTGTAGA